GTAACAGCTTTCTTCTTGAAATACAGATCTGGCTACATTCATCAGCTTTTCTTCAAAGTTTTCTATATTTTTTTCTTGTATGTATATATGTACATCCACATACATGTCTGTCTGTAGAGGCCAGAGGGTGTCACATTTCTTGGACTAGAAGAGGGCACTGGAACCAGAGTTACAAACAGTTGGGAGTCATGATGGAAGTGCTGGAAACCAAACCTACATCTTCTGCCATCTCTCTATCCTAAGTACATAATTTTTACAAACTATGCCATGTGTCTAAACCTTACAGAGTGAAGATTCCAACCCAGGTATCAATAACACACACATGACCATCAAGGAAGTGAGTGAAAACAGGAAATCTGGTAACAGAGCCCTGGACCACTCAAATTTCAAAGATCCAAAAAATGAAAAGCAAAGAGGCTTGACATTGTTTGACTAATGAAGAAGGGAAGAAAGAAACATCAACAGTGAGATAGTCTGAAAACTAAATGCAGAATTGGGGATAATTAAACAAATGAATAAATTTTGATATTAGGCCAACTAAAAAATGTTCAGTACATATCTGTGGTGACTGCAAGAGAAGTTTCTGAGGAAAGAATATGGGGGGAAAATGGCCAGAGTGAGTTCAAGAAAGGATGGGAGGTTCTGGCTACAGGGTGGTAGCAAGACATTTAACCATAGGAGACAGAAGCAGGTGGATCTCTGTGAGTAAGAAGCCAGCCTGGTCTGCAGAAGGAAGTCAAGGACAGTCAAAGCTACACAGAGGAACCCTATCTCAAAAGCAGAAAGAAAGAAAGAAAGAAAGAAAGAAAGAGAGAGAGAGAGAGAGAGAGAGAGAGAGAGAGAGAGAGAGAGAGAGAGAGACAGAGAGAGGGAGGGAGGGACGGAGGGAGGGAGGGCGGGAGGGAGGGAGGGAGGTCTCTTCTAACAATTTTATTATAAAGAGAAGCAGATATACCAAGATGCAGCTGAACTATAAACAAAGAAAGGGCTTTTTTTTCCCCTGAACGCAGAGAGTGAGAGTGTGCTGGAAATTGATTCTAATGCTCTATCTTAATTCTGCCTCTAAAAGCCACTTGCAGACCTGAGGGTCCCTGACCACATTTGGCTTCGACTGATAATAAAGAATTGCCAGGCCGGGCGGTGGTGGCGCACGCCTTTAATCCCAGCACTTGGGAGGCAGAGACAGGCGGATTTCTGAGTTCGAGGCCAGCCTGGTCTACAGAGTGAGTGCCAGAACAGCCAGAACTACACAGAGAAACCCTGTCTCAAAAAAAAAAACCAAAAAAAGACTCCACAAATAACACATTGGGAATTGCCATACAGCCAGCTGGAAGACAGAGGAGGGACTTTTAGATTGTATGGACAAGGGACCAAGGTGGGAGAGGAGGAGACTCACCATGACGGGGAAGCAGAGGGAGTAGACCTAAGAGCTGCAGAAAAGAACCAAACCAGCCATGTAAGATTTTGGGGAAGTGACCCTAGGGGCCACTCCCCGATTAGGTCTGGGGTAGCAGAGATGAAATGTTGATTTAGCAAGTTGACTTGGGAAAGTTGGAGGGGAGAATGTATGCTAGCCTTGGGGAAGATTAGAAATGTCCAGCCATTAAGCTAGTCAAGGCATATCAAAATTAACTGGTGTGTGTGTGTGTGTGTGTGTGTGTGTGTGTGTGTGTGTGTGCGCCTGTGTGTGTGTGTGTGTGAGACAGAGAGAGAGAGAGAGAGAGAGAGAGAGAGAGAATGAATATCAAGAATCCAGAGAGAGAGAGAGAGAGAGAATGAATATCAAGAATCCAGAAAGTTCTTGGACAGGTGTAGCAAGCAGGAGATCTGCCGGGAGCCAAAGTGGTTTAACTAATTCACAGCTACAAGGGTGATAAGTTTAAAATGTCTTATCCTAGAGCTGGAGGGATTGCTCAATGGTTAAGAGTACCAGCTACTCTTCCAAAAGACCAGGGTTCAATTTCTAGCATACACAGGGCAGCTTACAACCATCTTTAACTCCAGTCCCAGGAGACTCAATGCCCTCTTTTGGCCTCTAGGAGCACTAAGCAAACGTTTTATCATCCTGGTGGGAATGATTTGGCAATAGATGCACATGAACTGATAAATTTAGGAAGGGCAAGGGGACAACCTGAAAAGTAGCAATGGAGAAGGTAAACTGGTTGTCTAGCACAAAAGATCAGGAATGGATTCCACAGCCCTTCACTTATTTCTCCTCACCTTGATCTTGTGCTGAACATCAATCACTCTTACCTGCTTCCTATAGCTATGTGAAAAGCAACTCACTCCAGGAAGATCTAATGCCTCTGGCTTCTGTGGGCAATAAACATCTTAACGCACAAATATAAACAAACGCAGCCCTGTGGCAGTTCATGTTTACAATCCCAACACACTAATGAAGAGGATTACTTTGTAACTGAGGCCAGTTCCTTTTCTTTTTTTTTTTCAAAGATTTATTTATTTTATGTATGTATGTGAGTACACTGTTGTTCTCATCAGACACAGCAGAAGAGGGCATCGGATCCCACTACAGATGGTTGTGAGCCACCATGTGGTTGCTGGGAATTGAACTCGGGACCTCTGGAAGAGGAGCCAGTGCTCTTAACCTCTGAGCCATCTCTCCAACCTGAGGCCAATTCCTACATACAAAAGTAAAAATATCCAAAGCATGACAGCACATGCTAAAAAGACAAAGGGATGGTAAGTTTGGGGACTACTTACTTAGGAAAAAAAAAAGGAAAAAGACAGGTAATTGTGCCAACTCTAAGGTGCTTATTATTACACCTACTTTTTAATATGGTTTACAGGGTAACATACTAAAGAAAACTTCCTTATTTAAAAGTGTGAAAAATGCCAGGTATGGTGATATACATCTTTTATTCGAGCACTGAGGAGGCAGAGGCAGACTTCTGTTCAGCCTGGTTTAGATACCAAGTTACAGGCCAGCCAGAGCTACAGAGTAAGACCCTGTCTCAAAAAGACTAAATGAATAAATGAATGAATGAATGTGTTGAGAAGCATGTCTTTAAATGTCCTAGATACTACTTTTATACTGTTTCTCTTTCAGTTCCAGGAATCAAACCCAGGAACTCTCACCATTCAGGCAAGTGTTACACATGACAAACAAACCCAGCTTCTATGTTTGAGCTTTTATTTATTCTTTTCAAAGAATTACGCAGAAAGCTTAAGTAGGACTACCAAGAGCTATGAAGGTTTTTTCATAGCAAAAGATCTGCAATGTAGCATTCTCAACATGCCACCAACATACACCTCTTGGACACGCTTTGAGCTGATTATGTTAGAAAATAACAAAGTCATCACCTTTTTTATATCAGAACATTAAATACATAAGCTGTCCTCAGTTCAGATCTCCCCGACCAGGAAGAGAGGAGACAGCTTTGTCACTAGGATTTCTATCACTCTGCTGAAATAGAACACCTTTTTTTGGGGGGGACTCATTTCTCTGCTGAAATAGAACATCTTTTTTTTCCCCCAATCATTTCCTACACACCTAACCTCCATTTCTGGATACCGGTGATAGTTAAGTCACCCTTTAGAGATTTACTCTTTATTCTAATTCCCACCTGTACTTGAGGTATTGTTTAGTAAGCTTGTTTTTCTCTTCTTTAATGTGTCTTCTGTTGCCAGACCTGGTGGCCCACTCCTTTAATCCCAGCATTCAGAAGAGAAAGACAAGCTGATCATTGTTAATTCCAGGCCAGACAGAGTTATATAGTGAAGTTTCTGTCTTTAAGAAACAAAAGAGGGGAGGGGCTCGAGAAGTGGTTTAGCAGCTAAAAGCACTAGCTACTCTTTCAGAAGGCCAAGGCTCAATCCCCAGATCCCACGTGGCAACTCAAAATTGTTAACTCCAGTCCCAGGGGATACAATGCCTCCACTTTTGGCCTCTGGGACTCTACTAAGCATACATGTGGTACATGCAAAACACCCATACACATAGGAAGGTAAAAAAAAAATATTAATTTAAATTTAAATCTGTCTTTTGTTACAGGGGTCTATTTCAACTAAGAACTGTAAAGGAAAAAGAGAGGAAAATGTACTATACTATATTCTTCAGAAGTAAAAAGAAATACAGAAAGCTTTGAAACTAATAAAAGTTCAACCATAACTACTTCAGCTGCCATCATAAACTTCCTGCCCTAGAAATACTTTTAAAATATGTTTGAGCCGGGCGGTAGTGGCACACACCTTTAATCCCTGCACCTGGGAGGCAGAGGCAGGCGGATTTCTGAATTTGAGGCCAGCCCAGTCTACAAAGTGAGTTCAGTTCCAGGATAGCCAGGGCTATACAGAGAAAAACCCTGTCTCGAAAAAAAAAAAAATTATATGTATGTATGTATGTATGTATGTATGTATGTATGTATGTATGTATGTATGTTTGATGCTGCACATGGTGGCACACACCTTTAATCCCTGTACTTGGGAAGCAGAAGAAGGCAGCCTGGTCTACATAGTTCCATGCCAGCCAAGGCTATATAGTAAGAACCTGTCTAAACAGAAACAGAAAACTTATACTTGGGTACAAGTGCTTGCCACACAAGCTAAATCCTGAACCCACATAAGGTTCAGCAGTAAAGTCTACGATCCCAGTGCCTACAGCAAGATGAGCTGTGGAGGACAGGTGGGTCTTCAGAAGCTCCTGGGCCAAATAGCCTGGTGTATACAGTACCAAAATAATCTATCCTATGCCAAACAAGACTGAATGCAATGATTAATACCAAAGGCTGTCCTCTGACCTTCACACAAGTACCATGGCATGCATAAGCTCACATTGTCACACAAACACACACAAAAGATTAAAAATAATAAAAATACAGTAAGGTGCTTTAAGCTTACCTTTCTACCTAACATGATTCCTAAATTCTACAGAGAATGTATATTCTTAGGGATTTATAAGACAGACAAGTATGTCAGCAGAATTACTCAACTGTAACTTTAAATTCTGGAACAATTAGAACAATGCTTCTAGAATTTCTTACCTCATTATTTTTCTGATCCTCAAATACAAAATCTTGCTGCATGACTTCATTATCTGCAGTAGTACCAGCCACAGGTTTTGAACACTTTATGTTAGCATCACTGGCATTAGTAGTAGCAGCAGCAGCATCAACCCTAGTAAGATTTTTAAAAAATCAGATCAGGCCTTTGAAACAGTCAAATGTCAATCATGACATAGGTTGGGTTTGGCAGCACACGTCTGTAATTCTGCCACGTGAAAGCAGAAGTTCAAGAGTTCAAGATAATCCCAAGATACGCACAAGTTTGGGGTCAGCCTGGACTACATGAGTCCACATTTCAAAGCAAATGATTCAGAAATCTTTACTTATTTAAGGCTGGGGGTGAGGTCACTATTTGTCTTGAGACAGAATCCTAACATGTAGTCCAGCTAACCTCAAACTGGCAATCTGTCTGGATGCTGAGACAGAGGCAGCTCCTCTGCTGTCATCAGAGCCAGTATAAATCATCATGAACTCCACCTGACAGAAGACAGTACAGAAGCTGAGTCTGTATAAGGAACCTGCAATCGCTGTAACCAGGCTCTCTCCTGAGTACTGGGGAACACTTCCAGTTCAGCTTTCTATATACCATCAATATCATCAATAACATGTTTATTTATCAAAGAAAACATAGCCTTATAAAAAAATGTCCTTTTTTCCTCTTGCTAAGTTAGATTAAATCTGCAACATTTATTTTTATTCTTCTTTGAATGTTATTAACAGACCTGTAAGAATTCTCTTAACTATTGTGTTTAAACAATTTCCTTTACAAACACTCCTAGCTAAATACAAACTCAGTATTGGACACCATCACAGATACCTTATTAGGCCCAACAGCAGTAGCTTTACATGGTAATTTCTGATCTTACATAGTTCTAAACACAATAGTCTCTGCTTATAAAGAGATTACTAACCATGATGGGACAGGAATATTTCCACAAAAACGAGAGCATTATCTGAACAAGACACAGAAGTTTTCAGGATCAAAGCTACAGAACTGGGTTGTATTTATCTTCTACCATGTTCTCGCCTACCTCCTTCTCTTCAACACCACCTGTTCTCCTCCTACTTGGCCTATGGGCACAATTATACAAGCCTTTCCTACAGCTGTAATGGCCACACCTGGGACCAGTCCCTTGTGAACAGCAGGCGAGCACTCCACCACACAGCCACCCTCAGTCCCAGCCAGTCAAGTTCAAATCATGGCATCAAAGCATACAAACCAGGGCCACCATCACACAGAGATGCAGAGTCTGGTAAGACATGCATGGCACATTTGCAGCTGAACAGCATGGTACCTAAAAACAAGCATGTCTGCCACCGGTTTTCATGTCTATCAATAGTTTTCATTTCATATTTAATAGTTATTTTGGTTAGTTATTTTTAAATCTTCTTCAGGAGTTAGAGATGTAGCTCAGTGGTTAAAAGCATAAACTAAAAAGCATAAACTGCTCTTGCACAGGCCCTTTATTTAGTTCCCAGCACCTACACTGGGTGGTTCACAAAAACCTTTAAACTCCAGGGGACCCAATGCCCTCTGATCCCCACATGGTACACATAAACTCATACATACACATAATATTTTTTTAAATCTTCAAAATAAACCTATACACCAATCAATTGTAATGATTCTTCCAAAATATGGGTATATCTTTCACATCTGTCTCCAAAATGCAAACATATATATTAGCGTGAAAACCACTTCATTGTGGTCTCTGAGAGAAGCACATACATACATATCCTAACTGCAGGGCTGTGGTAACAGGAAAGGAAGCAAGTCTTTCCTCTACCACAGTTAAAGATAACAGATCAGAGCAAGACTAGATTAACAACACACAACTACTAATAGCTAATCTAACAACATCCTGTGGGAGAGGGCAGCAGTTGGTGTAAAGAATAACAACTTAGCTAGGAGTGGCGGCATACACTTTTAACCTACCACCATGCAGTAGTGGTTCTTACCCTTAATTCCTATCACTCAGGAGGCAGAGGCAGGTGAATCTTTGAGTTCAAGGCCAGCCTGGTCTACAGATCAAGTTCCATAGACATACAGGGCTATACAGAGAAACCTTGTCTTGAAAAAGAGTAAACAAAAAACTTAAATAGTAACAGATGTGTAAATGTATTGTGTCATTCAAATGACCACACACACTAGAGTTCCGTCAATATGCTATTGATACACCTGTCCTCATCACAGCATGCCTATCATACTATGTTCTCCTGCTAAACAGACTGAGTCTAATCTTTAACATGACATAACCCTTTAACTGTATCCAATATATTAGGAAGAAAAACTTGGGTTATGTTGGGCATAAGAAGTACTTTATAGAAAACTTATGAGACTGCTGATGGTAATTAAATATGTATATGCAAAGTCACATTTATACATTCAAAAATCTCCAAGCAAGACAGAGACTCCAAATTTTTTTTTCTAAGAAAAGAGATATTAAAACCATTGTATGATTTTACTAAATAACAGTAACTAAGTTTCTTGCTGGCTATTATTCTGCAATGAGCTGCTGTGACTGCTCATTGCAAAATGCTACAAACAGAACATAGGGCAGTGAACATTCACCCTAACTGGTTAAGTGGACATTTTTTTTTTTTTTTTTTTTGGTTTTTCGAGACAGGGTTTCTCTGAGTAGCCCTGGCTGTCCTGGAACTCACTCTGTAGACCAGGCTAGCCTCGAACTCTTGAACTCAGAAATCCGCCTGCCTCTGCCTCCCAAGTGCTGGGATTAAAGGCGTGCGCCACCACCGCCCGGCCTTAAGTGGACATTTTAATATAAAGCCTAATTATAAGCAAATAAACTGTTGTAGCATGCAAACAGGTGAACCGAGATGCAAAAATATATGAAGAAAATATATATATATATATGGTGACTTAAATTTTCAAGGGAAATCTATCAATCAATGATCTGATATAAAGTATCCATAATGCCACTATTGTTACTAGGGTGGGAAGAACTACTAAATAATTCCTTGCTACATAGAAAACCATTTAAAAACATATTTTCATCAGGGTGTAATAGCACATGGCTTTAAGCCTAGCACTGGAAAAGCAGAGCAGACAGATCTCTGTGGTTCAGAGCTAGCCTGGTAAGCATGCTAAGACCTATCTCAAAAAATAAATATTTCTCTAAGCTAAGTATATGAAACAACATAAATTCCCAATACTCAGCTAAATAAAACAAACTATAAGCATATATATTGTCTTAAGTTTCTATTGCTGTGATGACATGCTGTGACCAAAGCAAGTTGAAGAGGAAAAGGTTACACTTCCATATCACAGGCCATCATTAAAGGAAGTTAGGACAGGAACTCTAGGAGCTGATGCAGAGGCCATGGAGATGAGGAGGGGTGCTGCTTACTTACTGTCTTGCTCTCCATGGCTTTGTCTTAGAAAAATACTTAAATATATATACAATGGTTAGTTTCTGTCAACTTGACACAAGGAGGAAACCTCAATTGAGAAAATGCCTCCATAAGATCCAGGTATGGGCCCAGTCCATTGTCTGCTCTCTCATTTCTTAAAAGGTTGCAGAGTTGGCTTTGCAACTGGAAAAAAAAGTGGGTAAAACTGGTTGAGAGGCAAGGAGTGTAGGAAAAAGGAGAACAAAAGTACTCAGTCCTGGTGACTGAGCAAGAGAGCAGGAGTTTCCTGCAGGAGGAAAGCAGAAAAGAAACTCTGGCAGCAGGTCAGAGAAAAGCTGAAAAAGCTGGAGGCCAACCTAATAATTACAGTCCATGTCCATAGAAAAGGGTTAACTTCAAACCAAGAAACCAGAGTGGGAGGAGGGGAGGCCCAGGGTTACAAGACTACCACCATCAGCTTTCCCAGTACCCACACAGCACATGCCTGCTAATGGTGTGAAACAAGGTTATGAGATAGGATGGCATCCTATAGAAATGATAAATCTAAGGCATTTTAAAGAGGCCATAATTTCATATGGGATGCGCTCACCTTATGTGAAACAAATTCTAAATAACTGAGACACTCAAAATTAGTCCCCAAGACTGGAAGAGATTGATGACAGCTGTTCTAGAGGCCACTCAGCAGCTGTGATAACTAACATGATGGAGGGAAGAAGTCAGGAATATTGAACAGTGAAACAGAGCAAGGGGAATGAATAGTCAAACGTCAGTTGCTGGGTGAAGGGTGGTATTACAATATATAAGAACAGATTCACCTTGATGACACTACTATAGAACAATGTTGCTTAGTGGTTTTAAGAGCTTGGGGTTAAGGAGCCCGGGAAAAAAAGTCCACCTTGTTTATAAGGACTATACAAGGCTCTGGAGAAACCTTTCACTGATTTTTTTTTTACAAAGATTAGTCTCAGTTGTGAACAAAGCCATATCAGATCCTGACGAAAGGCAGGTGCTGACAGAGACCATAGCATTTGAAAATGTGAGTATCAAATGTTAAAAAGTTACTAAAGGCACTTAAAGGTACAGGGAGCACCTTCGGGCAAGTGGATAAGGGATACGACCAATACTGGTTCTAACAAGTGCTATGCTAGTATTATATGTCAAGCTATAGCTAGAGGTCTTCAACATCAAAATGCCCAATGCTTCAATTGCAGGAAATATGGTCATTTGCAAATAGACTGTAACTAAGCCCCTAAAGGTCTCAGATCTTAAAATGGTTGGTGCTTTAATTGTGGGAAATATGGTAATTTGCAACAAAATTGTCAAGGAGGCATCTCTAAGAGTATGTTTTCAAAAATATAGACAAGAAAGAGGCCTGGGCTTCCAGGGGTGTACAAGTGATATGGCAAGGGTTGCCACTGGTCCAAGAGAGATATTCAAGGCAAGTTCATATAGTAGGGAAATGAAATGGGAGGCCTGACTCAAGGCTCCACGGCAAAAAGTACAAGCTGTTTGCCTCTTGCTAGCCAAGGAGTAACATGCAAATTGAAATTTTTCAAGTAAGTATTGCAGATCTAATGCATGCTATTTTAGGCAGTGTGGCTCTAGGCTTGGACAGAGGTAAACATTTTATTCTAGCCCCAAAAGCTTAATGCTATAGAATAACTACTGGAGTTTAAGGTCCTTTGCTCCCAGGGAGAGAAGGAGAAGGGATGATCTTGGGAAGGAGTGGACTGACTTCCC